AAGAAGAAGAAGAAAGCAGCCAGAGTGGCCCACTGTCATTCCTGCTGAAGAACCGTGGAGAGCTGGCTCAGGGGCTTTGATTTTAAACCCAGCATTCTGACAACCACTAGCATTAAAAGGCTGTGAACTGGAAAAGTGTTCTGGTCATTGGAATGCAAATGAGCATACGAAGTGTCCCAATTTCCTTGTATAATTCCACTTATCTACACAGCAGTTGATGTGGAGAGCTTTGAAAACTAACCCAAAAACTCTGGGAGGTATTTATGCACAGGAAACTTTCCAGGTACATACACTTGTACTTATACTTGCACATGCACACATTAAAGACTGAAGGCCCCTTCTGGTGCAGTCATGACTGAGGAGGTCAGGTATCGTTCTTATGTGCCCTCAAGTCACCTGCGACTCATAGTAACCCCATGTACAACAGCTCTGAACCCTGCTCTATCCTGAGCTAATCTCACTCTCTCCAACACACCTACCCCTACTACCCCAGTGACCACATCAATCCATCTCATCCGGGGTCTTCCTCTCCTGCTCTGTTTCTCTCTAAGGACTGGTTGCTCCTGGCAACATGCCCAAAGTTGGTCAGCCAGAGCTTCAAAATCCTTGCCTCCAAGGAACAGCCTGGTTAAGAACAGATAATGTGCAAAAGTTCCTTTCAGATGGTTTCACCATTCATGCAAAGACTTACCTTTGGGTTTCTTCTTTTTGTTTTTCTAATTCTAGGATCTTTCGTTCTTGCTCTTTCTGTTTCAGCCGTTCTGCTTCTATGGACTTTTGCTTCTGGAGCTGCTGCTTACTATGTATTTCTCTTAATTCCTAGAAATAAGCAAGAAATAGGTCATGAAAATGAGATGCAGGTCTAGGATGAACCATTTCCTAATGGGAATATCTAGGGAACCTGGGAAATAAAATTACATTTTGGATTGAAAAATGATGGAAATAGGAGTGTATCCTTTATTTTGATATAACTGATCTCCAAAAGCTGCCCAGAATTATAGTTTAGTGGGCTATAATAAACACGGGAACCTGAATTTCAGAACCATCTCAGAAACAGGTTTGAGTCCTAGAACACTAATGAACGAAGACCTAATGAGTTGTGGAGGATGTCAAATGTACCATCTAGAAAGAGTGCAAACGGTCACCACTAAGACAGAAGAGGAAAAAAAAAAGACCAAAATGGATGTCAGAAGAAATTCTGAAGATTGCACTGGAGCGTAGAGAA